TAGAGATAGCAGGCCTCGAACCCGGAACTATTGGGACGTTCGTTGGGACCTCTGCTCCTTTAGACACCGCGTCACGGCGCCCAACGCTTGGCACAACGGTTAATGACTGATTGCAGGACCACTGAGATTGCGCGTCGCAATCCATTCACACCGTGAATACTACCAAATGACCCTTCAATTAGCTGAAATGAGATTTTGCTTTGTTAGATACAGATTTGCCAATCAGACCGGGGCGACACCCTCCGATCGCGTGAGTCGAAACTAGAGGACAAACGTCTATCGAAGTAAGACGGGGAATGGCCATACAATGGGAGGTTGGAGCTCAGGCGACACACTGGTAGATTTGGTTGTGTATTAAGATGCTTTTCTTTTCTCCGAGCTCGGCAATTTGCTTGCAATTAGGTGGTTGGAAAATTGTGGATGCAAGTGAAGTCGGAACGATCCGATGGTGGCGAAAATCGTAGCAGTGGGAATAAGTAGTCTAGAATGCTTTCGCAGTGGAATCCAAACCCGTATCCACCTTGCTCGACGCGTAGATAAGTCGATATAAAATATTATGTGCGACGGCCTGAGCGTTGTGTTTAATATTGTATTGCATGCTCAAAATATAGCGAAATTGTCTAAAACGAGACGAGAAGACAATTGGGTTTCACATTTCCCCGTTTGTTTCGATAGGAAAAGGAAATATGGTATAATACGGATTAAAAGGCCAAGGCTTGGCAGACCCCGTGGGATGATTTGTGACTTACGTAACTTAAAAGAGCACTGAAGCGGAACCCGCATCTGTGAACTCACCATATTGCCTACATAAACACACATGTAGCTCCAGTTACCCCGATTTGGTGGAGGTTAGTGAGCACGCTGTTTGTCTGTAACTGAACAGAATTCAAATCAAGGAATATAGACGGTGCACTGCATCGTCATGTCGTTTCCTAAAAATGGCTGGTGTCGATGCAGAAGTGACAAAGGTCGAAAGAGCCTTCCACGGCTAACTAATTCGAAGTGAAAATACCTCCGCTGGCATTCCAGACGGCTGTATTAGGCGGACTGCTTCAGCTGCTGACCTCGCAATTTCGTGCCGCGGCTAAGTTTCGGAAGGTGGCGACCAGCGTGACCAGGGTTTTTCAAGATATGGTACCGCAGAATGAGGTCGCCATGTGGACAGTGATAAGTTCTGCTGTACACTCCTAGGGCTTTCAGTCGCAGTTGGTGTGGCAGGTTGAACAATCCCTACACATTTTTGGTTGCCGTTCGCTTTGAGGTCTCCAGTGCAGACAGATCGGGTTTTAACCAGCCTTGGCAAGCCTGACTCGCGTGCTATACATGGGGTCTAATATGCGCATTGAGCGTTTGAAGGAAGCTGGAGTAGTCCAACCGCCCGAACGCCCACTGTAAGAAACCAACATGTTCGCTCGCGAATTTTGGGGCCTTTGTCTACTGCGCCGAATTCCGGAGGTCCTCTTTCAGCACCAACCGAAGATAGCGCTCCTGTGAGACGGTCTTCAAAATGTGGTCTCATAGCTTCTATGCTTTAGTGGGCTCGTGGCGTACATGTACAGTGTTATGCATGCCCTAGTTAAGCTGAAATAGATCGGCATTTTCCCATTCAAAAGTACGATCTAGATCTTGCTGCAGCAGCACGTGATTTTCCTGATTACCGATTGTTCGCCATATCTTGATGTCATCAGCAAAAAGCAGGAAATTCAACGCGATGACACGCACAAGGTCGTCGAAGAACATGAATTAGCGCTGCCCCAACACTAACCCTTGTGGAACATCGCAATCCACATGAGTAGGATCATGAAATTTGCCCCGAACCATAACGCGGAGCCGTCGCTGAAGTGGGAAACTTCCGGTCCATCCAAGGACATGATTTCCAATTCCGTACGTTTTCGGGTTTGGATAGAGATATGCTCGAAGACTTTAGAGTAGTCGAGAAGGAATACCTCGTTGCATCTCCCAATCAGCTGTTTCGGCCCAAATGCGACGCGCTGTCAGTAGACCGTTAGTACATGACCGATGCTGACGAAATCCGTGTTGCTCCCGCGGTATGATGTTAGAGCTTTATAAATAGCCCATTAGTGCCTTAGCTATGATTGACTCCAGCACCTTTGAGAGCACCGGGAGGAGAATCACTAGGCGATAGTTGGCCGGCTCCGAACTGCTACCACCCTTGAAAATCAGGGTAAGGATCTCCTGCATTTTCATGGTGGTAACCTGCTATTCATCCAGGCATCTTTGGAAAGATTGGGATGATGGCTCAGCTATCCTAGTAGCTTCTATTAGAAGTGCTTTTGCGGAATGACAACACCGGAGGAACTATGGTTTCGCAACTACCGGATTCCTCAAAACGGTCGCTGAACTAAAAGTGACATGTTTAAATACTGGCATCTAGGGTAATGGGACAGGTATGTGACGCATGTTGGTGGCGCGTCGCAATATTGGAACATATGGTAGCCGTAGAACGTTGACTGTATCACCGGCGCTTTGAACACCCATTTGCATAGATAAGTGGTGAACACCACGCTTCACATTCCGGAAGCTGTTCGCATGTTTGTACAGAATCTAGGCTCTGCGGACGCATTAATTTGTCCTCATGGACAAGTATGGTATAGTGATTACAACGACTACATAGTTATTCCATTTGTCAGGGCTAGGGTTCTCTCTGCACTCATGCAGCGCTGCGTCTCTTACCGCCATGCGTTTTCGTATTCTGTTTCGAATGAATGATTGTGCTGTTGCTGTAGGAATGGACCTGTTATCCGATGCAGATATGGTCAGACCAACGCACTGACCAACAAACTCCGTCCATTAGTATCAATGAAACAGTCGTCCAAATACGCCCAAATGGCATCTCCAACAAGTTTTGTTAGTATGCCGTATTGTGTGTTTGTTCGAAACAAGTCAATATATGCTTGTGGAAACCGCATAACACGCATAATCGGGAATTATTGTTACATGAACGCACAGCCCAGAGGGTTCTCTATCTCCGGATTCTCGACTATACGCTCTTCTTTTGTGATCACTAAATCAATCACAGTTTGTTTATTTTCTGCTTTGAAAAGGATGGAATAACTGAAATGTCTAAATAGATTAATGCTTGCAATAAGCTCTTGGGGGATGTCGGAATTTCTAGATCGTGAATACTGAAGTCGCCTGAGATGAGAACATGGCTTTATCGTCGTCCCCTGACGACATGTCAGTGAGGAGTTGGTTAGTGGCTAAGGCGATTCCGCTTGAAGGATTGAGAAGCCACCTTTATCCTACTCTCCAGTCTGGAGACAAATACGTATAATTTTACAGTTCTCTAGATCTTTTTTTACAGTTCTCTAGACAAATCTGGTATGGGCAGAGTTTAATTCTCAAGATGTCACCCAGCATATTTCGATGGATATTAGCGCCATCCGAGCCATTTCACCACACTGTGGTCCCGTCTCAATGATTCGACCATTTTGACTCAAGTTTTGCCACTCTTATTTGGATAGTGATCCGTAAAGCTTGAACTAGACAATCGGCGCTGTTAGTTTTGGTGTATCGAATTTGAACCTTTTCCCTTAACGACACTGTTATTCTGGCACCCTATCTGCCCAATGCTTCATGCTAACCTCTTTGTCCACCATACTCCACATCAAAGTGATTTGAACAAACTATCACGTTCGTCTATGAGACCCACCCGCGGCAGCCTTTGTATCACTGGTTTTGTGACTATGCATTCAGCGTGTGAGATGAGATAGCATCTTCGTACCATACCGGTTAATTCTGATGTGACTGCGGTGCCAAAATGACAAGGCTAAACTTTTCACCCTGATAATTATATGCCATTTTCGGCAGCGATGCGTCAGTTCATTTGGCTGATTTACTGCTGTTGATGATGTTAATGATGATTATGTGCCGTCTCGAACCTTTGCGTGATATGCTAATCTTCTTCTTCATGGTAACTGATGAACTAAGGTGTTGTGAGTGCAACATTTCTCAATTTGATCCGACTCATCTCGTTCGTACGATGTTCAGTCAACTCCATTTGTTGAGGGATATATTACGCTTGTAGGCTTGTCAGTTTGCCCAGAGTATGGGAAGTCTACTAACCGTACACACAAAGTTCTGTCACGAAAAGACATTTATCTATTTGAACATCTTTTAGCTGCTCTGGGAAAGGCAATGAATCGCATTCTTTTGGTCTGGTATGTGTCATGATAATTTGTTCTTGTAACGGTGAGTAGTATACCATAATATCGCTGTCTCAAAGACCTCATTGACTTAAACGGTAAATGTCTGTTTGTTCCGTACATTGAGCAGAGCTGCAACAGGTCTTGCCTTACAGATAGTAAGTACGTTTTGTTACTGCTCCATCAGTTCTCTAGGCACAGCATTTATTCGGTTACGGTAAGATGCATTATGTCATTGTTTAACACCCATGGACGATACTACAATGACTTTTCACACAATGTACTTTGCTCCCAGCTTTCAAGTCGACAGTAAGCTGTCAATCTTCCATCACCCATGTGCTGTTTGTTGTTTTCCTCGGTTCGCTTTCCTCCCCCACGTCACCCACTATTCACAACGAGTACACCCGAAATGATATTGATCTTTACTTCGCAACCAGCCGGAATTTTCTATTCTGGGTACAGCGCAGAGTATTCTGGGTCGACATTTGCACTTTGACTGCTACCTACAAACTCCAAACAAACTTATATCTTCTGAAAAGTTAACAGGAAGGCTTTCAACCACCTATTTCCTTTGCTTGGTTTGCTCTACTTCACCTAGTTTCCGATCACTAATTCGCGCTTAATACCGTGGTCTTGACTTGTTGAATTGGTTAGGCGTACCATTCGTTTGTTTCGTCACATAAAGCCAACTGCCTATTCTGTTGTTTAGACAAATCCCATGTTCCACCCCCACGCAATCCCTCCGTACGAGGCCTCACTGAAACCCAAGCCTACTTATCATGGCTTCCTCCGAAATTGTCTGGCGTAGAAAAGAAGCTAAGCTATGAAGTTCAGATGACTTCAGGTTTTAGCCCCAAGTGAGTAGACATTTATGCCACGTTTGAACCCTTGTGCTGTTAATCGTGAACTGCAATGTGCTCGTTTTAATGATCTGACTGAACACGCTTCATGCTAACTTCCCTTCACTAAAACGTTTGGAGTCACTCAAATAAATATCCCGTTGCTGTAGTCTGTGCGACCTATATTTAAAGACTGGCAAGTGAAACTTGTCTATGTAACATCTTAGAACTTTTCGTAGTACAACCTACCGGTAGGACTTAACGATCACCTCTCGTTTTCTGTGTCCTTTTATTATTTTAACCTTTGCACACACCATTTTCCTTGTTCAACTCTTTTGAACCCAATCCGTAAGGTACATGTTGCGAACATGGGTAAGTGTAGGTTAGGAGTTGAATAATCACACAGATAAGTTATAGGAAATCAAGAACCTTATTTTCAGGCCACATCTTCATGTCTTGAATGAACTCCGTTTTTGCAAGGGTTCGCCGGTGCAGTGTGACATTCTGCCGCTAAGCTGTTCAAAAATAAGAACTGTCCCCAAAAAGTTATCACCAAAACTGGTGCGTTGATTTTGAATGACATTCAGTCCAATTTAATTCAATAGCTATTATTAAAGTGCCAAAATGTATTCTATTCAGCCTCTATAGTTCGTGTCAATAAGATACGAAATCTTAAAATCGATGTACTCGAATCTTACTATGACCTGAGCCACTGAGCCCGACATTTAGCTCCCAACCTTAGACATATTGCCTATCTGAGGATCAGAACTTTCGAACAAATGGTCAGTCTATCGAAAAGCGACCTAGACTGCTCAATAGTTTTATTTTAAGAGCCTTCGCTGATACATCCCCAAGCTCTCTTTTAGCTCGAAGTTTGTTCCATCTAGCTCAAGTGATTTCCAACACTGAAACACAGGAAGCAGAGTAGGAACCAGTGTTTGATTTGACACAATCCAATGGTTATCCATTAGAGTTTATAGAGAGTTTCAGTGAAAAGATAAAACAAGATCGATAGATAATGGTTCAGAGAAAACTTGTCTTCATTGAGTTTGCCTTTCAAAGGATACCATTGCAAGAAACTCATTGTGAACAGAATAAATGCTTCATTGAAAATGGTATACAATGCAGTGAAGCTACGCTTGCTCATGTCCACAAGACCGCTGCTTAAGTGTTCAGTGAAGACACCATTATGGAAGCAGTGCACGTCCTATTGTCTATACAAATTCACCTGTAACCTTGGAGAGAGCTATGTTGGGTGCGCTAATCGAAATCTTGTAGTCTGGAGCAATGAACACATTCCAAAGTGGCTCCGCAAACGGATGGAACACGCAATAGTCGCACCAGGTGAATCGAGGGGTAAAGTTGTCCCATCAGTTTTGTGTTATTCGATAAACATTGGTCACCAAGTAAACCCCGACGCATCATTCACTGTCCTCGTGTACAACCAAAGGCCTCACATTCACAAGCTCCTTGAGGCCACTGTTGCCGATCGATACTCACCATTCTGTAGTCAGAAACAGCTGACAGTGCTACTAGGCTCACCGAAATACCGTGTAATGCACCTCTAGGAAACATCTGATCACCAATCGCTTTTATGTGACACTGAGTCCTATTTTAGTTGCAGGTATGTAACCGAAGACTGTGCATGAACGTACAGGTCCGCCCCACAAACTTCATTTTCTTGGGTTTCATTGCTCTCAGTGAAATGCACAGGGACGGAGGATGTTGAAGACCATGCTGTTTTTGCAAACAGACAAGCTTAACTGTGTCCAAAAGTATCTAATGCATAATTGACGTGAAAAGTAATGTTGGCACCTTAAGAAAGAGAACTGTGAGGACAGAATGAAGCTGGGAGACGAATCTTGAGCGTTATTTGCCTGTAATCACAGATCCTCGCAATCTGATGGCTAAACGTTGATTTGGCGAGCAGTCAGACGCTTTCTGCATGTATAAAAGAATAATTACAATGGTATCTACTGTGTCATTCAGCTGAAGATTTTCAACTGACGCTGCGCAAGAATGATTAATTGGAAAGGTGTGTAGTTAACCTTGAATTAACCCACTTTAGAGCAGTAAATCAAGCACTGATTTATCATCTTTATACTCTTAGAAACCAATGAACTGTTTCTCTTGCGTTATGGTTCGCAATATTATTTACTGAACCACTAATATTTCCTTTATTAATGTTCGACCTTTTCCCCCTATCGGGTACTGTACTTGAAGATATCGACAAGATAAATAAATTATGAAGTAAAGGTGAAGTATCTAAACCATTAAAATTAGTTTGTTCAGGTAGTGGGTCGTCCCCGTCACAGTGTGTGCCGTTCGCTCTTGGTAACTAGCATCAAATTCTACTTAGTATGGTTCACACACAAAATAAAGTAAAAGTTACCTTCACGTATAGGTCGCATGAGGCTGAGAAGCATCAACCCTACGCCGGTACGCAATACTGTCACTAAGCTGCCACACAACCACCACCAGTCGCGCGTGGGCTAAGGATACTGCGAGGGTCACGCGGTCCCCACGCTGCTTCGAAGTTGCGAGCTCGTGTTAACAAGTCATGTTTGTAGTCGTTAAGTCCACGGGTCGGCTGGCAATGAGTCATGAAGTACCGTATCAGAAAGTTTCTGGTAAATGTGTCCCAACTTAACTTTTTGTCCCTTAAACAGATGTGATTTAGAATTATATGTTGAAGAGTGCCGCTCTATCTACATTCTGCTTCACGCTACACGAGTCTTATCAATATAACAATTCTACTGGCTGTAGAAAGTGCTAATATCACTGTGTCTCTCAAGTTGACTTTCATGTTATCGGATTGTAAAGACTTGAACGCTAGGAAAGCAAGTGCTTCCGTAGTTTTTTCTAGTGTCACGCAGGTTCACGTCAGCTCTCACTAACCCTAGATTTCTGATAATGCTTGGATCATCCTTTGTTTTGGAAACTAAATCGATATACACATGAAAGGTAGTGCGTTATGGCAACTGTAGCCAAGAAATCTATTCCAAATGACTGGTCATGGGAGTGTAAAGAGATCATCCGGTCGGATAGGTTACAAGGTCTGTGAGGCGCGCAACTGCATCTGTATACAATCTTCAGTGTAACAGTGTATTTTAGAAGCTTTATCGTCATGAGCGTGAAATTTTCTGAGAAGCGAAACAGACGTAAATAATATACCCCTAGCGAAGATATGGTTCAGGGTAATTTTGTCTCCAGTGATCTCAAAAGCGTCGGTCAGGCGCCGACGACATTTGGAAGGAACTTGCTTCGGCTATTCAGGTGACTTACGTTATTCGCGCTTTTACCGCCGGAGTAATTAATGTTCCTGTGCTAGTAGGCAACCGATCCGTACAGTGGAATCCTAAACAAAATAACGAATATGTCGTCCCTATTTTGCGTTTAGTAGGATTAACTCCCACTGTGGTGCAAAACAATCTACAGGTCAGTGAATTTGCTCACTAGGTGAAGTGCGAAGTGTGGCTTGGTTCTGACAGCACAGTGGAGCAGAACCATCCTTAAATAGCCATTTGAAGTAACTTGGAAGCGGCGTGTATTCGACCCAAGTACCACAGAACCCGATTCAAACCGATCGATTGCCATGTACACCACTTAGGGTTGATAAATACCCACACTGCAGAACGAGGCGAGTCACACAGACCTAGTATTTTCCCCAGCGCCCTCAATACTTTACTCCTAGTCTGGTCGGTTGCACACCTTCTTGCCAGATATCTCAGTGGGTAAAATGGAAGCTGCTTAGTTTTAATTCCCCTTCAATGTTTATGCAGGTTTTGTTGTTTTTCTTCACTGATAACTGAACACAGTAGCATAAGTTTTAAGGCATCGACAATGCACATTTATATACTTATGCCCGTATTGTTTACCAGTTTTGCTCCTTGCACTGATTTATTTACATCGACCTAGCGTTGTGATGATAAATTTGTCGCGTACCGAAAGAAAATACGAGGGAATAAGTAACAAACCGTACTGTTAGAGTACTCTCAATAGTTCTGGGGTCATCCTCTTCAAATCACTTGGCAAATCTCTTGCTGCTGGGCATGTTTTGCGAAACAAAATACTTGGTAGCAAAAAATTAGCCGGGTTATATCATAGTGAACTCTCAATCACACAGGTCCGCGGCTGTCACTCATGGCTAAGTGGCACTAACTGCTAGCATCCGGAGGTTATGGGATCGGAACCCGGCAGGGATCCGGAATGTCAAAACGGCGTTGCCTGGTGCTTTTCCAGACTTGCCAAAGTCTGCTGACAAAGTGAACTGTGATGAATTATCTTTGGATATCCTAACGGTTTACCGCATTTGCAGTCTCACAGTACTCATCTGAAAACGCGCCATCCGTTTTTATGCGAGCCTCAGTAAAACTGCGTATGTGCTCCATTCGTTTACTATCACTTCGTTTCAACAGAAACACGCTTCCATTGCTATCTACTCTTGCTTGCTATCATACTTTCAAGGTATCCACTACCATGCATTGTTGGAGCGTCTGGCCTGCATGTACTGGTAGTTGGTTACGTCTCATCATTAAACGCTTTCTTATACCCACTTCGTCTGGTCAGGTCCCTACTACTATTTTGCGTGACTGAGCATCTATCCGGCTGTTCATAACACTGTGCGTTATATTTTTATTTGTTTCACCAAATGGAAAACATCCTACTTCTATTGATCAAGTAACCGCTTTTCTTCTTCGTCAGTGTGAGGACGGTGAATACCACGAAGCCAGCATTGCTTCTCACAGATTTGCGTCCAGCCTCTACGTATAACATTGAAATATTCACCCGGCTTTCCTCTGATGGCAAACGTTCTGCTGAAGCGGCCTCGCTACATATACGCACAAAGTCTCCTGGTACGTTATTGGGGAACACCGTGGCTTATCAAATAGGTTTTTCTATTCCGATTTGAGTGCAAAGTTGCATGACTCGACAACGCTCAACTGATGCTACCATTACCATCCACACTGCAACCCACGTTTGACTATTTCTTCTCATTCGAAACATCAAATTAACCTCCACGCTAACCTCTGCAAACATTTTACTCTTCCATTTATTCGAAGTTTTAGTAGGAGCTAACGTACCATGATGACTGCGTTTCTCAACACGCTAAGGCTGTCGATGTTGCATGCAACTCAAGAAAATTTTAGCCTCATGGATCGATTGGGTGTCGGATGGAAAGTCTCCAAGCGCACGCCTTTGTGGAAATCTAGGTACCGTCACATGAATGTTGCATTTGCTTCGGACATAAACTGCACTCTCAAGTATGCTTAATGGTTCGCTCTTGATTTTAGCTGCAGTGAACTTCTACGGTTAAAAAGCAGTGTTTTGTAGGCCTCAGATTGCTGAATATACTCATACTACTGAGTTCAATTCCAGAACCCGCTGCTCTCTTGTTCGAATCCTCTGTTGGATACTGAGAGATGTAGCTGTCAAACAGATCCATCCTACACTGGATGATAACGATGAAGCATGATACTGGAACTGTTGAGCAATCAGTTATACGCCACTAAGCACTTGGATTCTACGCCGTTTACTCACTGGCTGACACTGTCCGAGATAATGTGGTGGACTGTCCGATTTATTTCAACAGCCCAGTTGGTGTAAAGGTTGTTGTCTTTTTTGCAATGTTAATGTCCAGGGGGATAATATCATATATCACAAGAGGAAGGAAACTGATGGACACCAACTTTGCGACTGTGACACCGAGACACACGATAGATGTGAAGCTACTATCGGCACGTCCGCAGCGTACCCAGCGTGGTCATGGGATAAAACCCCTGCATCGTTTACTAGGGAATGCTTGCTTTGAAGAAGACAAATCTCTGTACTCTGGAATCGGTCACACATGCTCACCCATCTATTGTTGCCCCGATGCACTGAAAAGATCGATGTTGTCCGGTGCTGTTAGCCATCGAGTTGCAGTACCTCTTCAGGTCTGGACTTTGTTAAATGCATTTAATAGTACGCTGCTGGCCGTCAATGCTTAAATCGTCTATGCCGCCAATCATTTTCCAATGCATTGGCACCGCATGAAACTTCGGATTTGTAAATGAAGGAATGAGTGGAATACTGCATTGTGTATAAATGTGTTCGGTATCAATTGTCAAATCATGTCATATCGACAGAGTTATCTCTAACTGACAATGTTTCCGATCCTCTGGAGGCGCTTGTAGGACTTTATCGCTTTTTTCCAAATGAGCTGTTGTCTCACTGGTTGTCTTCGCTACATCCATTTCTTTTCTCATCCAAGGTATCTTCACTAATAAGTTCAACGTTTTTAATGTTCCGCCATTTCTGCTCGCTTGTACTGTCCCTCCTGTACCCCGGACACAATTTCACCATGCTCGCTGGGACGCTTCGTAGTACGCTTTTCCCAAAGTGCAGGGTAGAGAGAAGCGGTCAGGCAATATGCCCTCACTACGGCCGTACACACATACACACACACACCATCGATAATTATATATATATATATATATATATATATATATAGCACAACCTTGTGCGGCCAGTTCCTCTCAATTGTTTTCAAATCGCCGAAATTTCGTGGCCAAAACCAACAGAACGCGAACACTACGCGGTATCTGGGCTGTGCATACAAAACACCAGCCTTGTCTACTTTGGAAGTACTTTGGACAAAATGCTGTCGAAATATTCCTTTACACCTTATTATATCCGCAGTAGATAAGTAAAAATGATGTTCAAGGTAAAGGCAACGACCAATTTAAAGGCCCCACCCCCAAGTTCCATTAAAAAATATTATGGACCCACTAAAATCTGGGCGGTGCTCGAACGTCTGGTACGTCGTAAAAAGTTAAGAAATATGGCCTCAACCTACGCGAAACAGGTTATTTTGAATAACATGCTGTCCGCGTAACTGTCTGAGCATCCGAACAAGCATGTAGTTAAGCAGTTTGGTGAAAGCAATACGAAAACCGGCTCCTCGTTATTGGGTCAACCTGTTCAGTCTCCTTACTTGAAGACCTACACGAGCTCCGCTGGACATGATTACGTTTACGGTCCCAATCTCTCCTGGGTAAAAGGTTGATTCACAAATAAAACACCTGATTACATCTGAAAAGGCCACGGGGATCTTGTTCAAACCAGGAGGTTCGTAACCTTTCAACCTATGAAAGCCATAGGAAACCTCTTCCTCTGATAGCAGTGAGATACTTACATAGCAATTAAAACTGTGAAACTAGGGGGCAATAGCATTCAGTAGTGTTTCTGTTTACATGTATCACCCAGTGTACAAACCCATGTTTATGCCAATGAAGTGGTGCACTGCTGGTTTCACATGTCGCTTCACTGTCAGCCTTCTTCTTGCAGCCAGTGGATCAGCTCAGAGGGAATATTTACAAAACTTTCCCGAGAAAATGGCTTGTTTTAACACGATGACACACTGGGTCTATACGGTGCAGTCCCATTCCCTATCCTCCTGATTCTTACCGCACATATGTGGACTTGCACTAATGCTATCTGGCGCACTCCATCTTTCGGATCTGAGTTGTATGGATCGCCTTTTACCTCTACATCGTAGCTTTGGCGTCCTTCTCATAGTAATACATGCGCGTTATTTTTCTTATCCTATGTCACATAACAGTATGTTTGGTATCAAAATAATACTTACATAACGAATCGTCAGCCAAGCCTGTCGACCGGAGAGTAAATAAGCCAGCCGACACCTTGTGTCCTATCTTGCTCGGTGAGTCTTACACCTTAAAGCCACTTTTGAAGTGACAGTACAGTTGCTAGACCTGTCCCGAAACACCAGGTGACACATTGTATCGTACTACTAAGGTGCTGCCCGCAGGGTACACGAAAAACCAAGGCCGTCACGCGCACTTATGTTGCAGTCAAGCGCCCAACCTTCAACCCGAGAGGCATCCCCTTGGAAAGGAAAAGTTGGCGGCAATGGTTGCTACAACTGCTGATGCCGCGCCTAATGTCACAAGGATAAAGGCAGTCTGTGGGTTAACTTCAAGCTAGAAAGGTATACTAACCGAAGTGAAATGTCCAAATTATATCAGCCATTTCCATTCTAGATGTGCTAAACTCACATCAGGCGATACGAAACTATAATTTACCAGATCAGCCTCTGTGTGGTCATCTCATTAATAGACATTGAACACAAACTTCTTCAGCAACATGAAAGAATGGGAACGATGATTAAGAAACTGAGGACTTGCAGAATCGCACGACAGAAGGTAGTCTCCAGTTCTCCTCGATATTATCCGCTTCATGCCTGACGAACGCACTTGGACATCCAGTTAAGAAAGCGCCATCTGTAGCACTAAACACTAAGCAATGTGTTAAAATACCGCTGGTTATCCAACCACCCTCAGTCCTATTGGAATAATTACGACTATAGTCTCGTCCACCCTCTAAACTACTCTGAACTCTCTGAAGTGTGTTTAGACTAGTGCTGGTTGAAACGTGGTTGTTGCCAGGAGAAGCGGGAAAAATAGACCTTCAGTTACTTTTAATGAACCAAAAAAGGATGTTTGTCTCTACTTACATCGCCTCCACCGATTGTATGCAAACCATCGGGGCAGCCGACTTCGACCGAGGCTGCACAACTGGTCACTAGTATATCACACACTGTCCATCAGTAATCTGCATCAACGCTCCAGGATTGACATTGAGTATATTAAATGAAAAGCAACTCGATGATGTGCATTAGTGGCACCTCATATTTGACATGCTAGATGTCGTTGCTAAGCTCATCAACCTGACGCGAGCGAATCACGACTTAGAAGAATACCGGAAGGGGTCCGTATATAGGACTACCTTTGTACACGAAGCTGGGAGATCTGATGAGCAGGAAACGATCACCCACTACCACGATCATTAGCGTTATATTCGCGGGACCCTTTCCTTGACAAAGTTCGTAGTCCATCCATTCTCGCGATTCAGGCCTGGCAACAATGGATGTAACGCGATCTGACGGTACTGGTGACCCCCAGCGTTAGTTAACCAAAACTTTAAGGAAATCTTTCGTCTGATATGCCAAATACAACTTAAACGGCAGCGAAGCACTTTTACGGCGTACAGGTGACACGTTTACATTTTCGGTGTATCGGGTCTTGAAAAACCCCAGTCACGCTGACCACCACCTCTTAGGACATAGCCGCAACACTTTACAGCCGTCTGGAATGATGCTAAATGCTTTTTACTTTGACTTTCTCGGCTGTGAAACACTTTTTCGTCGGTGCATTACACCATCTGCATTAAGTGATATAAAATCCACTCTTTGAGATGCACAAGACGCAAACAAACATTGTGCTCACCAGCACCCACGAAATCGGAGTAGACGGATTTACATGTGTGTTCACGTGGATAAAATGGTGAGTTCAAAAACACATGGTTTGGGTTTTGAACCTGAAAATGTCTTCTGACTATGATCCTTATAAAGGTTATTGAAAAGGTGGAATGTTGTGGAAGTCGAAAACGGCCTTCCTCCTACCTTAGAGATTGGTTGTATATAGTCACTTTGAGTGACCACCATTCTTCCCCATGCGAAATCACCAGCGGTGTCACCCGAGGAACTTTATGCGACCTTTTGCTATTTCTCTTTTATATCATCGAAAATGGCCAAGTTTCTATTTGTTGATGGCATAAAGATCGTCTATAAACTACGGCGTGATGAAACAGCACACGCTCGTTTTACTTCAAGATAATCTTCACTCTGTTGTGGATTGGTCTGACGTGTGGCTGTTAAAATTCTTGACTGACGAATCAAATATCATGTCATGTGCTTGCTCTATCCCAGTAGGGTCAATAAAATGTAACAACAATGCGCTGTCCATACAGCAGTCTACCCTTGATTTAGGAATCCAGTATTCTTCCAACTTACGCTTTTCTGAACAAGTCCGATGCTAAATACCTCGAGCCAGACGATCCGTAGCTGACATCTGCCACAAAATCCACATGTTCACCGCCAAGCTCAATTTATTCAAAATCTTCACTCGTCCCATCCTTGAATACCACATCTCTGTCTATGGCAGTATGTAGAAAATAGACAAGGAAGCCATGGAAAATTTACAGAGATCATTCACCAAACATTTGTTTCCTTGTACATCTATTCTTTACTAGCGCGAACGTTGTAAGCAGTTTTACATCGATTCCCTCTGGCTGCGACGTCTGAAGCAAAACGATTCTCCTTCACATATTGTTACATCCGAAAAGGTGCTCCTGGCTGCCTAATTTGGAGATGAGACAAGATACACATCAAAGTCTTCGCAATACATATTATGCACTAGCTGTACCAAGCGATTGAACAACCATACACTCTGACCATTTCCACAGCATATACGCCGCTTCATGAATAACCTGTCAACCATCATCAGGGCATGTGAGACCCCCACATAACTCCAAACTAAACTCGATACTTCCTTTGATCTTTAAGTTGTGCCATCCATGTTCTCATCCGGCAAATCAGCGAGTGAAATACTCCAGGATGGACCAAAAAATAGCTAAAAAGCTAACAATGGGCATCAATATGCACTCGTACAAGAGCATGCTTATTTCTGTATGTACCGATCAGTTCTTATTTTAGGAACGGTTTCTCACAATAGGGAAATGTACATATCTCCACTTTTTGAATTTATGTATCTCACTCAGATAATCACACGAGACTCGTCAAACCCTAGCCATTTTTACCGGTTTTACCGTTGTTCCATCACCTAGCAGGCTACACGCACCCAAGTTATGATTCACAATGAGACTGGTAGTCTAAATCGATTTCCAGTTTGTTTTACAGTCTCACCGACGGTAAATAATGGCGATGTGGTCAATATGTGTCCACAGCTGTCCAGATGAAGAGGGTTACCAGGTGACATGCTGGCGCCGGAAGCACTGAAAGTTAGCACTCGGGAGAAACGCGCTGCGCTTAACTGAGCTGTACGTTGCGATGGTCGCGTGATTGTTCCACCCATACTGACCGCCGACTTCCCTTTCATCAGCATCGAACGAGCCGACCTATATGTTTAAATCTCCGGTTAACACCACAATATTCGTGTGGTACTTCCAACGGGGAAGGTCAGAGCTTTTGCTGTATAACATCTTTGACTATAGGCTCTGGGAGCATGTGCCACCATGAAAAACAAACAAATCTTAGAAGTCTCGTGGCTGAAAGAATGCATGACGTTTTCTAGCCGATTTTCTTAGAATCGGACGTTGACTGGATCTCATTTGCTCACATGTACATGCGTATAACGCAATTTCCACACCAGAATGGCCGACGGCTACAACAATTCAGTCTCGGGATCATCGTAATAGGAATCTGCTCTCGGAGCGCGTAAAATACGATATTAATCCTAAGGTTATGCTAGGGTCCCGTTGGCGAGTTTTAACGAGGCGACTGGTATCGGTGATAATAGTTTCGAGAAATCTAGCAAGGATTATCATTGCTTCTGTCTGCATGACATTGCGAACACTAGAGGCGGCCAAGTTGAGTTGAGAATGGGGAGTCTAGAAACGTCCCACATTCACTACTGGGTGGCACATTGTCGTTTTTGAAAAAAACTAATCGACTACTGTGGCTCAAGTCAGCAAGCCGTTGGAGGCTCAGGATCGGAGGAGGATTACCGAGAATGGCAAAGTTTACCACGATACGAACTAAATAGTATTTGTCGTTGTACTGCGGATATCTTAAGGTCTGTCGCTAGCAGTATTCCCTAGCTCCACTGGTGTGTATTGTGTGGGCAGAAAGCCTCTGGTTGCTTTCTTATGAATGTAGTTTAACTAAGGGATCCCACCCAACTCCTTAGGTTATAGGAATCTAATCCGTTGGCAGTGTGGCGCCTAATATATACCTTTAATCAGTGGGAGCCAGTAATCAAGCTACGAATAACGGCTTTTCTGCTACACCAGGTTACGCAGGGTGCCCAAAATGTTTGAGTATAGCGGCTCATGGGGAACGTTTCCTGAACCGCCAGACATTGAAACAGACTTGAAACTCGCACACTGCGATGTAACTTATGCACCATAGTATTTAAACTCCACACAGGTGTTGACCATGGAGATTCTTCATCCTCATCGCCGTACTAGCTCAAATTGGATTCAAAAGCAACCCAGGTAACCGGCCTAAAACCCCATACCCTCCAAGACGATTCCAATGGTTGTCTGCGGCCGCCTACTATTTTCGCCTGCGAAACAAACCATAGTTATTCGTTTTCCTCACAAGGATGATTTCCCGTGATCCTGATTTTCATCAATGAACTCACAAAGTTCTGTCTTCAACTTGGCTACTATTCGCCCAGGATATGAAATATTGCTTGATATCACTACAATGTAGAATCATACAGCCTTGCAAAGTGATCTGGATAAAATCAACACATGGACCACAGTAAACATTCTCCAGTTCAACGCCGCCAATAGCAAAGTTCTGAACATGGGCCATTAAACCACTTACGACTACCAGCTAGGGCACAATTTCTACAGCGCGTTTCTCATGAGTGCGATCTCGACGTTCTATTGCATGATAACTTTAATCGCTTGAGGCAAATCTAAAAAGCTTTGGATATAGCAAACCAGCACTTCGGTCTCCTTCGTATGGCATTCGGAAATTTCGCGCCTCAGTCTTTCAGCAAATGCTATGCGCGTACGTGAGGCCGCACGTGGAATACGCTATCCAAGTTTGGCAACCGTGACAGAAGCAGTACCTCACCACATTCTATGCTGCACAACGCAGGGGCTGTGCGGTATCTCAACCGTTTGTCCCACCTTCCCATTCCACCTAGGTTGTATACTCTAAAAGTGTACAGCGGACGACATTGGCGTCTAAGGAGCGAGCTCACATCCTGAGTCAAGAAACCAAATCCACCCTTGCCGCCATCTTTTGAAACTCAGGCAAAACACATCGCTTATGGGCCATCAGTTTAAGTTGAGCACACAGTACAACTGACTAAAATGTCGACGAAACGCTTTCTCGTTAACCGGCATCGCCCTACTCTTTGTGGACAGAAACAATTAACAGTCTCCCTAAAGCTTCCTTGGGGCTCATGACCCTAAAAGCAAGCTTGTTGATCTGTTATTCTTGCGTCTACGTGCTTTCCCTTTGTGACCAGTTTCAAACCTTTGATTTTTCGGTCATAGGATTCATATTTATGTTGTTACTTTTCGAGTGAGCAGATACCGCAAAATGGTTCCATATCGCCATACCAGTCTTCTCATTGTCTTATTTTGTATGATAAAGAGAACTTAATGCTTTAGATTTCTCCTTGGTAGTGTCACATCCCTCCAACTTTCCCTAGCGCATGGAATTAACGCTATCACCTTAACACTATTCAAAAAGCGACCTGACGATAAACTGGGACATTTACACTACGTACTAAATCTCATGACCATCGGATAATGGCATGATGCAGAACAAACAATGAACAATGTCATAATCCACCCAAAATCGAAACAGGAATACTCACATCTGTGCCACTGCAAACCAATTGCGAAGTCATGTATCTCGCGCGTTCTATTACAGCCACTATTTTTATCTTGTATTTTTCACTATAACTGTCCTATGAAACTAGTCAGGCGTTTGCTTTTTTTACTTATTACAAACCATTGCTCCATTTATCAACTTGATAGTACGCAAATCTCTCACGGGTACTAGGGGACTATGATTATGCTGGCAGGAGTTTTATGGAGGCAACAGTGCGGTGGTGTAAATAATGCTGTATAGTCACCACTGTCGCTGTCGCAGTTAACTTCAGTTCATTAGAGTGAGATTGTGATGGGATAGAATATTTATCCTTGGTAGATATCTGAACAGCAAGCCTACTTTTTCTGGCAAGTGATTATTGAATTTATGTGCTAGGTTGACCAGTTGTGCAGGGAATATCCAGCAATCGACCTCAATTCGGTCGACATATTTTGTTAAATATAGATGTTTTATGCATATTCTGTGGATTCTAGGCACTTTCGAAGCTTGCGACATAACACACACTAGTATCCAACCATCAAACAAGACCTAAATTTTAATTTAAACGCTGTATTGGTTATCGACTCATTAGTTTTGCAGAGCACTATAGTTCTCACAACTCTCATGGGCTAAAAGCGTTGTTGCGTTCAAGATGCGTACATTTGTTACTTCAGGGAGCTTTGTTAGATTTACGATTGTTTATTTATGATTCGCATCCACTCCAAAGGCTATAGTTAACTAATCGGGGCTATTTCACTAAATTGGAGCAGCCTAGAGACGCAACCTAAAGAGTCACGATGTCCTATCATCACGATGATGGCTAAATGCACGACTTGTCTTCCGCCCAATCTTCTCACTACAACTTTCTGCACCATAATTTCAGTCAAGCGACCGAAAGCAGTCACTGGGCTTACTGCAGAATCGGGAGAATTTCGTTCCCTGAAGATTTCCTGGCATCTCAAACAAGCGGCAACTGACCCATTGGAAGACAAGATTTCCCATTTCCTGTAAGTTTCTGCGCTTATACCAGCATGTTTTATGATTCTTTGTTTGCCCTGGTGTTGTGCCATTAAAGAGTGACACTGTGAAGCCTTTCATAATTTATTTGTAAACACGGTGGGTTAAAATTCCATATACACAGAATCGTGTCTTGAATTGGTGCTTGAGACACCTCCCTCCCTGAATATAATGCTTTTAATGCTGAGTTACACCATAACACTCGAGTTCCCAACCTTGTTTCCTTAATGTTTAGAGGTTACGTTACCAATCCTTTCTATCCATCCCGGTTCTGATTTCTACAGGAAGCATGCGTGGAAACTTGAGTAGATTTTAAGCTGCACTTGTGAAGTTCCAATGCTAAACTGCATCCGCGAACTTAGTGCGATTTCTCACTGGACATTCGGGCAGTCTGAACGTACTCATTTTATTGTTTTCATGTGCATGCCGTTCATATCTCACCGCACATATTGGACTAATCGAAAAAACATCTCCTTTTAAATACGAATTTCTTCTTTGAGTGCGCTAAGGGCCATCGCGAGTAAGTCAAGCACTCTGATCGGCGATATTTTACTTACTGCAGCATCGCTCTTTTCTCTTGGCATTCCGGGATCAGAGCTGTGATTATTCTCGGTCGCCCATGCCAGATAAACAGAGGAGGTTGCTTTATGTAAGGCGTCTGTTTCGGCTTTGTAAATGTTATACAAATTCTAGGGAACGGTATGGATTTGTGGTTATTACGATCCGATACCAAGTAAAATCGAGAATGTTTTATACGGTTAAATGCATAACACACAGTTCCACGTGTCCCTGCGTTGGTAGACACAGTTCCTATCAGCTCTTTATCGGTGACGAGAAAATCAGCGATCGGCAGCATTTAGAATTGTAACCTCTCCTAGTTTCGAACGCTATGAAGTTAGCGTCTAGTGAGTGGAAGTCATGACTTTGCAGGCAAACCACTGTTATCTACAAAGGCAGTAGTGCAGCCGCCGTCCCCCATGGCTCAGTGGCTTAAGCTGCTGGCTATTTGGCGTCAGCCTCTATTGGTCATAAATTCGATCCACGGTAGTGGACCAAGGGAATGCGCACCATCGAGGAGCCCCAATAGGATGAAACGCGTCTGGTGCTGTTCCGGATTGCTGTTGCGCTACCTAGCTTGTGAGCAGCTGGGATAAATACATTAAAATAATGCATTAAAAGAATACATTAAAAGAAAATCTATATGGTACTAAACGCTCTGATGCAGAGCAGGTATTCGGAATTTTTGGAAGTTGACCTCAGCTAGACGCAATTAGACAGTCATCATACATCGAGAAGATCGCTGAACAGCCGGTTCAGTTTATTACCAGTCGGCATCGGCACACCTCTCCCGAACCTTGCAGCATTCGGTCGCTTGTATTTTGTCTTGTGAGTTGGCAGCTTAAGCCAACGAGACATGCATGATGACGACCGACCAACACCAGATGCGATGTAACTCTGTTCATCTCCTATAGACAGGGGAACTACACGGCTTATGCCAGAAGCATTTATTCCCCCGCTGAGCGGCCGGTTTTCCTACCCACTTAGAAAAATCTCTGGCGAATACTAATTACTAGCAATTAGCTGACGGTTTATGGCTTTTCTGTGAATCTTCGTGGTATTTTACTTGTACAGCTCCATTCGCTGATATATCTTTGCTGTTTTAATCCGTCTAGTTAGCTGTCCGTATGCGCATCGTCCGGCCAGTTGGCGAATTTCGTCAATGTGTACTCATTCCGCGGCTCACCAGGTCTGACTTTTGTGATCCATTCACTTGGTACTTAAATTTGGAGCCAGTTTATTATGCATTTGACTAATGCCAGTACGATTTAATTAAACGGATTTACATGTACGGATATACACAGGAGTATTTTGGCTACCTATCGATCATACGGCTAGACACCTGGGAACCGAAACCAACGGATCACGCCAAATGCCTATCTCATCCAAAAACTGACATGGTTCCTGCATCTATAGAAGTTCTCAAAGCATTTTATCATACGGTTATTTTAAAGAAAATAAAGTGATGTTAGTTAAGGTATTCGCAAAAACTCGCCATGTACATTGATCTTAAACACTGACTCGAATGTCAAGGGTTGCCAGTTCTAACCCCTCACCGGACAGACAGAACGCGTACTACTGACGAGTCACGAAGTGTTTTGTTTGAATGCAGTCGCCGTCTGATGAAATGTACCTTTGGATGGTTTAAGCCTAATCCCTCCTTTCGCTACTGTTCAAAATTAAGCAGTATTAATTCACTTGGTCCGCAGGATTTGCAAGTGCCAAATGTTCTTTTCGCCTACATTCGAACTAAATAGATAAAGTGCTGACCCTGTAAGTAAAGTGTTTTTGCGACTGTCTAAGTTATTTACTTTTTCTATGAATACTAGTAACCAGCGCAGCATGAGCAAACTACCGTATTGCCAATAAAGATGTTCAGTACAGTTCAGTTGATAAACTAGTATCCGAGCACCGAAGTGCGGTGGATCCAGTTGCCAATAGTTACGTCGCCAAAACAACAATTAGTAACAATGGAAAGACGGTGGGGCTAAAGGCAAATAGAATGTAAAGCAAATAGAAGCGAGAAGGAAGTGCCTCAAACTAATCAGTATGGAACGAAAAATAACAACCAGATGAAAGAAACTGAATGCAGGAACACCACTGGCTGTGTGACTGCGTCATGACTGATACGGTCTCCAACCGCTATGGCAGACCATCCCGAGACCCCCATCCATGAAGACGACACGCACAGCTTGACCAACTCTCTGAGTCAAATTCTTCATGCCACTATGCCACGTCCTGTACTGGTCACCTTGCTGTTTCACCTAACTTTGTGCAGCGACGGCATCTAATGCGCGCCGAAGAAAGCGGTCAACGGGAATACGGAGGACATGGCCTAGCTAACATAAGCGATTACGATTCACCAAACACTCCAGTAAGGAACCAGAAGGTTTCCTGCTAAAAACCAACTGACGGACATCAGCATTCCTTATCCGGTCTTCCCACCAGACGTGAGCAATACTCCACAAGCATCAGTGGTCAGACACGGCCACGTGATTAATGTCGTCGCAGCGAACTGGCCAGCTTTCTGATCGATACTGTAAGAACGACCTTACAGCAGGGTTATGCAACCTAACTTTCACCGACAGGCTGATATCCTGCCTGCCTGCCTCCAAAAATGGTTGAGTCTTTGGCAAGCCACATTGGGCTTGCTGGTACGCGAAATAACCTCTACAGTGATGCAACCATCAGAGGTGAAACAGCCACTGGGGTAAGTGAACCGATCCGCCAATTCCAGTGGTTGTTCGGTGGTATCTAGAACCGGAGGTGTGTCCATCCAGTCCTGCAACAGTACTTTGCACTTTGATAATGCAAAATACACGCTGAAGCATGCAGCGCTATGCGTCAGTCTATCCAGTGGTGTTTGCATAACCACTGCGTCTGTCCCAAGAAGAGCCATGTCGTCCGCATACTCAAAATTTCTCAGTCGGCCACCTGCAAGAACTTCCACTCCATGATGTTGCGTGAGCGGACGAACTCGAAAAGCTAAAACTTCGTCATGGTGACGTCTACTCTCCAAAAGGAATGTGCTGGGCTCACAGCACGCTTCTACATGTTTGCCAGCAATCCCTTTCTTTGTTTTCTTTTTTCTAGAACCAATTCCGTAAAGAACAAATGTGCTTTTGTAACCTAAACCTATACAGCATTGTGAAACCGTTCGGCCACTAAATAACCTTAAAAAATTTGTACAGATATCTAGATAGGTTGTGTTGTGTACCTAGCCCAGAGTTCTGCATACATTGTACATGCTGCATTGAAGCGGTCCCGTTAAGTTCTTCCTCGATTTATTGCGAACATACAGGTTTTCGCCGTCATTGTCACTCTATTGGTAATTGACAGCAGTTTTTATTTTTATAACGAATCGATTCGTTTGTTTTTTCGCTGTACGACTGTCATTCTTTATTGCTTCTTTTGTAATGGGATACTGTATCACTGGAGGCAGTGTTTCGGCTAAGCAGATCTTTCAGCTAAATATTATGGGTTATAGACCACATGGTTATATTTTTGTTGCAATCACCCAGTGTTTCTTGCCGCCCCCTGCAGTTTCCATGGAAACTATTCAACGTTCAATTGTACGAACTTTCCTTGTTTAGAGTGTGCTCCACTTTTTCCGTCGGCGATGTCCATTGTGCCCCCACATTTTCTTCTTTGCCCAACTGTTGATGGCATACCAAATGTTATTCCAACATCTGCATCTCTGCGAAAACCGTTGTATGATTTCCAGCCCGCAGATTCAACATCAAACATAGTTAAAACTACATTTTGCATTTTATAATGCTGGTAGAGGTTCTTACTACCCTGTCATAATATAACCCATGCGATCCTCACTGCTGGTGTATCCGCAGCAGAGCGCAAAATTCGCAAATGTGGTGTCAGCCAGGTACCAAGTACGATAAGCTACTATCAATTGCTTATAAGTAGTAAGTTGTAACATTTATTTCTTGTTACTACGGATGCAGTGTTTGTGGTTAGCTCTGACGGTCACACACTTGAGGGCAGTTAAACTACCATCCTGAGCCTAGCACATTAAGATGTAGGCTGAAAGACGTTATTCCGCCCCCAAAAGTGTTCCACAAAGTATAGCATAAATTACCTTCTGGTATCGACAGATATCTGTTCACCTACTCACCAACTCTTCCTTCTTGGTTTCACTCGAGGGGAACCAGCATCGGATAAAATTGTTGTTCAATTGCCATATGGCATAAAATGGAATAGTTTGTATAAGACAATTACATAAGGACAAATTGCGCCACACGGAACCACCCTGTATAAGAGAACGCCGAGTGTACTCAGTACGTTGAAGAGTACCAAACAAGATGAATCTATCGACTGATATAATTAGGGCTCTAGCAGCTCGTAGAACTTCCAAGTCAGATCAAAACAGTGCGGGAAGTTAACCGCACTACAATTAAATTACCTATCAAAATGCGGTAGGGACATACCGCAACCGTGCCAGTTCACTAAAAGACAACTGGGTTATTAGATTGCCAACTTAAATACAAATCACCGTACTTCCACTGCACAGCAAGATCAGAAAAACCTGGGGTCCGCGTACAAAATCCCCCTGTTCGTTTACTGGATCACATAACTGTACCAAATCGCTTCACTGTACAACCCATAAGGGGATAAAATGCTTTGATTTCTTAAGGCAACTTCAAAGGAGTTAAGCGTAATGTTTCGGGGCTAATGTGGGATGAAGAAAACAGCAAGGCGGATGGGCCACTGGGACGATAATAATTGAACACCGACGTATATATGACCTCTGAGGTGAGTATTATCTGATTCGTTCCTGCATATATAAATATATATATATATATGTATATATATATATATATGCAGCAGTCTGTAAGTAGACATTGCGCCACCAAAAAATTACGAGGAACAAAATAGAAACAATGCGTCAGTCGGCGACCGATAAAAATATTTCTTAGATTTTTGACTTTCTTTCTGTTTCACCTGCCATTTTGTTCTTTTTTTAGCATTTTGAATGGTATGCTTCCAATCACATTGTGCAAAACATTTCAATATACAGTCCTTATATTAATTCCGGTTTCGCGTCATATCGCCAAGTATGTCAGGCCATTTGCTGTCCTCATTCTCCGGCCACCAGCCAGGAAGACGTGCGGGGTCGACGCATGCGAAACAGATCAGCGATTTCTTGATTTGCCGCGAAGCACTTAGCTGACCTCCACGCGTTTTCTTCCAATTCAATCCTGTGCGAGCAAATGAGGCGCGGCTTGATAATCGCTCGCATGACATATGTAGAACGTGACCAAGCCACCTCAGTTGACGCGTTTTGCTAAAGCCATTAAGCGGAGGGCTCATGTTTTCCAAGACGCGACACCGAACTTCATCATTGCGAACGCGGTGTTACCAGAGCACGCTGGCTATCCGCCGCAAACCTGTTATCGAAGGCCGAAAGCCTATGCATATCATCCACACCAATCGGCCAGAAATCACTTCCCTACAGCAGGACCGCGCGGACACATGCGTCGTAGACCCTCCCCTTTAAGGAGAGGTATATGTCCCGATGACGCCGAAAATGACTCAGGTTGGTAAATGTCGACTGGACTCCGACGATGCGAAGAGATACCACTTTTCAAATAGTTCCATCAGCAGCAGTACAGCTTCCGAGGTAGACAACATTGTCCACAAGCTCTAGCCGTGTTCCTTTAATGGTAAAAGAAGGGGCAGACGACTTCCAGTCTTGGAGTAACACTTTACACTTCAAGGGAAAAAAGCGTATGTCATACTTGGACGATTTTATTGTCAGACGGTTCCAAATGAGCTGTACACTGTGAATCGTCACCGAGCGGAGCGATATCATCAGCATAATCTAAGTCGGTCACGCAATTGCCAGGAAGAAGCTCAACACTAAGATTCTGGGGGCTTTCCCTAGATCTCCACAGGACGTCCTCAGTTGCAAAGTTGTAGAGGAATGGAGATAAAAGGCACCCTTTTCGCCCACTACTAGTGATATCGAAGGGTAAGGAAAGCTTGCCATATACCCTTGCTGTACCTGACACTTGGAAGTAAAGCGCCCGAATAATAGAAGTGTACTTTTCGAGGACTCCATTTCTTAGCAGATAGTGCTATAATGCAGGCCGATCAACTGAGTCAAATGCAGCCTGAATGCCCAGAAAAACGACAATGGTTGGCTGGTGGTGGAGATGGCGGTGTTCAAAGGTTTGGTATAGCGTAAAGATTTGGTCCACGCATCTTGGACCGTGGCGGAAGCCGGCTTGTTCTTCTCGGTAAAACAACTCGAGGATTGGGGATAGTCTGCGAAGCAAAATGAATTACAGCAGTTTGGTAGCAACCGGCATAAAACTGATTTCCCTATGGTCCACACTGCATTTGCTAGCACCTTTGTTGCAAATAGGGACAATTACTGATTCACGTCAGTAGGATGCAACCTTCTTTTCGTGCCATATATTGGAAAACAGCGATATCAAGTGCTTGACAAGTGCTGGCCCGCCAAACGTGAACATCTTCGGTAGATCTTTGTCCGAGCCGGGAGGTTTGAATCACTTGAGATGTCGAATCTCGACGAAAACCTCCGCTTCATTAGGTAGCTCCACTGAAATGGCGCTGGGCATGCAATATGTTGTACTTGGCATAATAGCAGACAATTGATGTAGATTGAATTGGGAGTAAAAATGCTCGGTCCAACGCTCTACGTGTCTTCTCAGATTAATGATCCTTAACCCATCCGTTTCACACATAGTCTGACTGACGCCATGTCTTCTTGGGCCGGTGAGCCGAGAGCTGGAAGAGCTTACGGAAATTGCCGGAAAGGGCAGTGCTCTCCATCTCCGAGGCACGCTGAGACCACCAAGTCTCGGAGTAATTGCGCACGCTTTGTGACTCCCGGACAAATTGCATAATATAGGAGCGAGTATGTGTAACAGCGTAGGTTGAAGTGAAGCCATAGGAGTATCAAAAAGGAGGACACAAGGTTCAAAAAAATAGTTTATAGGCCGGAGTTTAGCGGATGACGCAAGTGTCAGATATGTTTACCCAGTGTGAAATCCCTGATATCAAACTTGCGAATTTCATGATAATTTTACCGGTTCCACTGAAGCCACAGTGATAACGACAGACTTCAAGCAAATCCACATGGAATTCAACATAAGTTCTCGGTCGTTTGCTATCGTACAAGCGCAGCTACAGACAACGGTCAAACGACTGGATGTTTTCCTAATCAGTATGCCATGCGCGAGAGTGGCCAACCGGATGACTTTTCTTTCCCAGCAATAAGAAATTTGAAATAAACGTTCGGAAGTGCTTGTTGGAGGGTTGGATTTGGCCTTAGTATGGCTTCTAGTGCGAACTTCTATCTGTACTCTAAATGTCCTGATTTTATCTAATATTAAATTTATGGCATTAATGCTCTGCTTTTTGAACCCACTAAGAATCTAACATCAACCATACAGTTTGTCGTCTCTAATTTTATCTTTTATACGGATATCACTGGGTTCATTCAACCGGGTTTCCTAATTTGACACCACACTAATTGTGTATCTCTAGCCAGCTTGTAAGTTGCTGCGTCTACCGTAACGTGGACATTAGCGTACGCCTATTCCGGCACATCTCTTATATGCACTATTTGCCCGTATGCTTTCGACTGACATTTCATCATTCATATGCGATACGCAAGTGGGTGTCGCATGATGGATTGTCAGACAATCATCATGCATTTGTGCATTTGTGTGGGCACTATCTCAGACCCATATTCCGACGGTTAGACTTAATTTTCAATTGGGAGACAAACACGTTCACCATGCCCACTTTGTTGCGCTTGAAAAAAAACAGTACCAAGCACGAATCAATTGCCATAATTTTACTTTGTATGATCCACCTTTTCTTACCCTTACTTCCTATGCGCTACTCCATTTTCCTCAGAATGATTTGATTACGATGGGAACAAAAGATTTTAGGAGAAAGCGTATCTTATTTTCTTGGTGTAATGTAAATCTTTTTCCCGCAGTTTTCATTGGGCAGTTGATTCATGACGATTGCTTCCCCCCCACAGCATCACTTTATTCAGACTAAACCCGTTCAATGAGTCAGCAGATGCTGCACAATCCACAGAAATCGTTCAACCTCAGCAGATTACTGTTCCAGTTTCGACTACCACACCGGTTTCCGGTTTCTTTGAGCACACCGCGAGGAATCTACTTCCGGACTCTTTTTACCAAATTTCAGTTCAGGCTGTGACGGTGAACAATGTGACGGGGTACCCTTCGGTGATTAGCTCATCACCCAGAGTCGCTTCCAAGCCACCGACTGCCTCACCTAAACAAGTGAGCCCTCGTTTCTTACTTCCACTTCGTCAACGGAGGTTTACCACTTCATATATATCAATGTCATGTGATTGTTGCACTTTAGTCCATCCTTCATTCGAATACATTGGTAGAGTCACGTTTGGTTTCGGTGATGGCTCTTGTTTTACAGTTGCCTATAGCTAGGTAAGGTGTCTTTATTTTGTTGCATCCTCTCAAGGAAAAAACTTCTGAACCAAGACAGCATGCTTATGGCGGCTATTTATGAAAGCTCCTTAGTCCCATTTCGACGTCAATTACCAAGTTCAGCTTCGTGCGAATCACTTTGCCATTAGTTACATCCTTAGTGGGTTGAGTTTGCAGAGTCACCAGGTCCTGAAGTTCGGAGTAGCCACAGGAAACATATGTGGCATTTATGTGTTTGGCTGTTGACTTGTTAAAATGCGCGTTTATTTTTAGGTGCACCCGTAGTTTCCGGCTATTTCGGCATAACAGTGCTATTCTCAAACCGAGCAAATTGGAAAATCTAATTTGCTCCAAATTCTTCTCTTCACGAGTACCAAAAGTATGAGTCTAGGTGTCCCTTTTCAGTTCTTGCATTGCATAGCTCAGCAGATCCTTTGAGTCGTTTTGTGTGTGAACTTAGATGCGCTACCTCGCTTTAGCCGGCACGACTGTACTGTGTGCAGTCAACATAATCCCTACATAAATAGGTTACATATGAACTTTAGAAGGTTCTAGCTAGTTTGCTTATCATGTAACCAGCAAAGTTCATGCTCCAAGTCGTGCGTTTTTTTCATACTTCATATACCCGAAGTTAGGCCGAAAAGACACGGCCCTTTGATGAATTTGGCCATACTTGGATGTGTTAATTGCTCCAAATGACACTATTTTATGGCTTTAAATTCTAGCACCTGTTCGTAGGAGTTAATTTGATTACAGAACCGTTAGACTAAAGTCAATGTGCATCAGAATTGCTCAGACTCATTCATCTGACGGCATATTTTATGGGTATCTTTGCATGGATATATGGGGATGTGACAAACGGCATACGTTGATGTCACACCTTTAAATATTCTACTTCCCGGCTAACAAACTTGAATGATTTAGACTATTTTGTCTAAAAAATTTCTCTCCAAAGCGATACCACTCAGCACTCAAGCGGCTGATAGCAATCACTGACTGCTATAGGTTCGTGAACAGCAGTTTATGATCCTGTCTTTTCGATAGTCCTGTCCAACCACGTCCCTCAGAGAGAGCTGTTGCTTTATATCTGTATGCAAAACAGTTAGTGGATGGTGAAAGCATTGTTCTTCTGCTGCAACTCACTAATTTCTATTGTTTTTTTACCATGAGCAACTAAGCCACCAGTGGTTAATTTGATTACTCGCGTCTTAGACACCCGTTCAGGTTATGATTTAATAGTCATCTAACCTGACACAATTTATATGTCAGTTGTCGACCTGATGCATCACTTTGAAATGCTTGTACTCATTGTCTCTGGCCAACTGCTTATCCTAGGCATTGAGTAATCACACAATATCTCATTTGAGCAATGTACTTACGGCCAAATCGAACCCTCAAATAGTTTCAGAGTTTAGTTGACACAGCTTAGAAGCTATTGCTAGCCAACAAATCGTGTCCATCGTAATCAGTGGGAATTTGGCCCCGTAAAGTAGATAACTCTAATGAATCGATCGTTCACCTACACACCTTCCTTGGACAAAATGGTTTACCATTCACCGTCTCTATTTCTGGACCCCTTGCATGGACACAGCAACGTGTCATTTCGCATAGTTCCTTCTCCTGGACACTAGTGAAGAGTCCGTCTCGATTAAGCCCGTTCCTTGTGCCAAATGGCTTGAGGGTGGCAAAGTTTGTTCAAAATATTCATGTGATCCCACCCTGTTGACCCTATCAGTGACTGACGTATAAAAGGAATTTTCATCTGCCTACCTGCGTTACGCTGTGGTTAACCAGTCGTACAGCTAGCTTGCAAGTCAATTATCGAATAGTTGAGGTCTTTAACGGACTCATTAGTTGCGAGCTATCTATTTTACCTCCTGTACAAATCCACTTGGCCGCAAATTTTTTGACCACGAAGTTCAGTGTACTATCACATTCTGATTCGTAGATTTTCTCTCCATATAAACAAAGTTGGCATTTAAATGCTCTTTTCCAGGAGTTGTGACCAATTCTTGGTCTGCGTTTTTGTTGCTCGTGAACACTTGAACCACGGACTTATTAGCTGGATCACGTGGCTTCTCCTGGTTCCTTGGTTGCTCATTGCATGAGATGTATGTAAGCTATTGGCTGTTGTAAGGATTACCGCCGCTTTTCCGTCCTTTCATCATACCATTCACTAGAGGCATATGCCTGGAATAATGGTTACGCCATTCGTTGTCAGAGTGTTGGATGCACTCATCATATAAATGGATTGCTGCGCGCAATCTCCTTCTAACTTGTGATTTTCTCTGAAGATCCCACTGCTTTTTGACCATTTGGACGAAATTAAAACGTTTTCCTGTTGGGAGTGGGCAAAGGCTAACAATTAATTTTGCCGATACAGTTACATGATCGAATTGACCGAGTTTCACCTCAATGTTAACCGTAGTCCAGCTTGAAATTTTCGGTTGCAGTTCTTTCATTCAACGAGTAATTCCAATGGACTAACACGGTGTCATTGTTCACTATAACAAGCGTTGCCGATGGATTTCCATTTTGTAGAAGAATGGGTGTCATTGGGCAACTCTGTAACTCGGGCTTGATTCGCTGTTTAGCTACCCCATCCCAAGAACACCAATATGCACGCAAGTGACCACGCAGTGCCCTGATTCGTACAATGACACATTTGAAGTTACCAGTTAGTATCCTTGTGCATGAGCACTACCAAATCGCTTCAAGACCAATGCGGGTAACTCCGGAATGCACTTTGTCACATATTTCATCGCAAAGTAGATATATGAACACCGTGCTCCCTCTTTACGGAGTATAACTCTACTTACTCTGGATCACCGATAGGAGATTCTGCGTTGGTTCTTGCGCTGTCACACATTTCGTTTCCTGTTATGTTCATTTGCTTTTTTCATGATCTGCTCATTGTTGCTTTTAAGGGGGTCGTTTACTCCCTTCTCACCTACACGGTCTTTGATGCAGCTTCAGTTAGTTGTTGCTTTAGCGCTAGCTTGTTCTTAGACGCCTTCGTTGTATACGCGAAAGCCGTTCCTTCTGTCATTGGCATTTTCCGACATGTCTGCCATTAGCCGACTGACCAGCCACACTTACTACTGGCACATGTGTACACGTCGCAGTTCTTCCCGCTTTTTGATTAGTTTATTTTGTTAAATCCATGGCTCCTCTTTTATTTTTGCTTTTCGCCTTAAGTGACATTTTGGGTCTTGTCTAAACCGGCGGAAGACTGCGCTGAAATGCCTAACGAAATCATCTGTACTTGGACCGGTAACCATGTGCACACTGCGGAATCAGTTCTCTAAATGCGTGGTTGCATCCAACAACTGGTAGAAAATGAGCAGACATAGCACTTGGGTCATTATGATGTTGAGTCGTTTGTCCCTTTAGCCAACAAGTCACGATGGCTACTTCTTATCACAACGGTTAGTGATTGCTTGGTTGGTCATTTGGAGGCAATTGTTGTGTGATTGCAACCCGCAGTCGCACTATGAACACTGGCCCATTCGATCTCTGGGACTGTAACTGATGCACGTTTATTGGATTATTCCCGACCCGACTCGATGCTTACTATCTTTGCGTTATAAGCTCCGATAGGTTGGAAATCGACCGTGGAATGCAATGATTTCGGGCGGCAACTCCCAACTTGCATCTGCCTCAGCAGTTACGGTGCCAAAGTACGAAATGACCAGAGTGCACTTCATTGCAAATCGCAGTCCATTAACATATATTTTCGGCAAATTCATGCATGGCGCAAGGCGTGGACATTACATGAATGCGCTGCGATTGGTAAAATGTCCTGGCGTAATATTGAAACAGTATATATATATATATATATATATATTCACAGTCTATTAACAGACATTGTGCCATCAGAACCATGGCAGAAGAAAAATGTGGAGAAGATAGGAACACGAACTGCGATTAGAAAATGGGAAACGATTGTTTTTGGTTTTACACACGCCATGTTGAATTAGTTTGTTTTTGTTTTGTGAGCATTTGTGGGTATTAAAGGGGGATATAATGACAGGACAACATTGACGCCACTGATGTCTGTTGCGGGCCATGACGTCCAATGTTTCCCACCACGGAGATTCAGCATCTCGTGGTCCCCAATTTGGAAGATGGACTGGTCCGACTGCCGCCAAACTTGTGATTGCCTTCTTCATGCTCCTTCTCTACGTCATTGGTTGTCCCCCGCGGCACTTTCCCAATCGCTCCCTGAGAGTACAAATAGTGCTCGGCAAAGAAGGTGGTAGGCCGGCATGCGCAAAACGTGCCCGAGCCAACGCTTGCGATCTCGGAGAGTAACGTCCTGAAGACTGGTACTACTCGCTCCAAGTACGCGGTCACGTACCTCTGCGTTGTTTACATGGTATTGCCACCACGCCCGAGCAATCCTTCGTAGACAGCGATTGTCGAACACTGACAGCCGCTTCATGTCTTCCGAGCGAATAGGCCAAGTCTCACAGCCGTACGAGAGTACTGCACGGACGGAAGCATTGTACACCCTGCCCTTGAGCTTGAAACTGAAATCGCGACGACGCCATAGGTGTCTCAATTTGATGAATCTAAGGCTGGCTTTTGCAATCCGTTGTGAGACTGCATCTCCAACACCGCCAGCAGCCGTGATTCAACTTCCTAGATAATAAAGCTAGGGACTTGCTCCAGAACATGTCTAGCAATGGTGAGCGCGGGTTCAGGCATCTGCCAGTCCTGGAGCAGCATTTCACATTTCCCCGGAGTGAAGCATAAGCCGTACTTAGACGCCTCCATCGCTAACCGGTCCAAAGCGCTCTGGATGGTTTTTGTGTCCTACCGTAGCAAGGCGATATCATCGGTATAGTCCAAGTCCGTGACTCTGTCTCCAGGAAGGAGTTCAACACCGCAGTTCTGGACACCTTTCAGTGCCCTTTGGACAGCATCTTTGATGGCGAAATTGAAGTGGAAATGTGAAATAGGGCAACCTTGGGGAACACCGTTGGTTTCAGCAAATGAAGAAGAGAGCGTGCCGTAGGCCCTGACTTTACCTGACGTGTGACTGTAAAGTTCTTTCAGAATGGCAGCAACTTTGTCGGGCACGCATTTATTCAGTAAACAGTTCCACAACGCAAATCTATCTACTGAATCAAATGCCGCCCGGATGTACAAAAGCACTACGATGGTTGGCCACCGGTGGATGTGACGAAGTTCGAGAAGTTGGCGAAGCGTGAAGATTTGGTCGAAGCTGCCGCGGTCTGAACGAAATCCGGCTTGTCCTTGTCGGGAAAACTCCTCTCTAGTCGTCGAACCCTGCGAAATATGACCGACACAAATATTTTGGATGCCACAGAGATTAACGAGATTCCGTGGTAGTTACCGCAATCGTCGCAGTAGCTATTCTCGTGAATCGGAACAATGCCCGATTCTCCCCATGAGTCCGGAACCTTCTCCTCAATCCAAATTTTCGTGAACAGCGATAGGACTTCGCAGACAAGTACACTCCCGCCATCTTTGAATGGAGCCGGTGATAGGCTGTCAGGACCCAGAGCCTTGTGGCGTTTCAAAGATTGGATTGCATTTCGGATCTCTGCCTGATTTGGGGGGCTGTGGTGACAGGCCAAGCATCATCCATTGGGGCTGGAGGTGTCACAGAGGGCTGCGTTGGATGGTTGAATTGAAGAGCGAAATGCTTTGCCCAACGACCAAATCGCCTGTGAAGGTTGGTGATCTTTGTGCCATCTGATTCGCAAATCGTCTGGCTGATAGCGTGGAAATTGAAACCGGTGGCCCTGATGATGTAGAATAGACGATGGAAGTTGCCAGCTGATGCAGCGGCTTCCATCTCATCGGCTTGTTTTGATCACCAAGATTCACGAGCAGAACGAAGGTTTGCTTTCAGCTGTTGCGTAATAGACCGGCGGTGTTCGTTGTACTCTACGCCAGCAGGCACCGCCCGTCGGTGAACCAGCAATTGCAAGGATCTTCCAGGGATCCAGCTTTTGCGAGTGGAGCAAGCGAGGCCGCAGCTGGACAAACCGGCCAACAGCATGGCTTGTTGCAGACTTGACCAGTGTTGATCAATATCCAGAGTGTGAGAGAGCAAGATTTCCACGAAGCCTTTGTTGATACTCCTTCTTCATCATCAACTCCTCCAAATTGTAGGTGTTCAGTCGAGTGTGTTTTGACTTAGACGAACCACCGAAACGCATGAAAACGGCCTCACATACCAGTGCATGATCGGTATCAACGCATGTTGACCAATATAATCGGCAGTCGCGTACGTTGCTTCGCCGCCTGCGACTTATAGCTATGTGATCAATCTGTGACCAGCGCTGAGTTGACGATGGGGGAGCCAAGTGGCGTACTGGCGTCCAGGATGACGAAAGCTGGTGCTGGAGAGGAATAGTCGATGATCAGCAAACAGACTGAGCAGTCTCTCAGTTGTCTGAGGATACATCATCATATTTATGTAGTCCCCGGAGGTGGCGCTTACATGGCAGCAGACGACCGACACGCGCGTTGAAGTCTCCTATCAAAACAATAATGTCTGTTTTAAGAGCCCTTAGGAGCAGCTCATGTAGGTTCTGGTAGAACTAGTCTTTGACTGTGTCCGACCTACAGTCGGTGGGTGCGTAGGCAGAGATCACGAACAGAGCACGCTTTCCGACTCGACGTCTGCTAACTTTACAAGAGCCATGAAACCTCATCGCACAAAGGCGACCATTGATCGTAATCCAAACAATCAAAGTATTATGGGGTCTAGCCCTGAGAGCGATTCTAACAACAGCTAGCCCATATGTGGCACACTCGGCGTCACCAGAGAGGCGTAGCTGGAAGCGGGTGCATGGGTAGAGCGGTGACGCCATCTGGTAGACCGGGCTAGAGTCCTGGAGTCGTGTTTCATTCAGACAGCAGATATCAATTCTAAGGGTCTCTAGCGTGTGTACAAGTCCAGCTTGTCTACCGATCTGCAGTAATGTGCGTACGTTGAAGGCTGCAAGCTTGAACTGCGTTCCGGGTTGCAGAACCGAAGATGGGAGACTTTAGGACTGGCAGCTCTCTGTTGAACACTATGTGGTTGAGTTGGCAGATGTCACGGGGACATGTTCAGTGGTGTAGGTGGGGTTGATCGCCGTAGAGGAATCAGGTAAAATGGGTGTGAATGGTACAAGGAAAGGGTAGGTATAATGGTAGCGTGCGCTTGTGAAGTTGGCATAGTAACAAGATTGAATAGCGTCGTAGCAGCAAGAGAGCGGGTGAATGGTTTTGGTTGTAAGTCCATGGTTCGTCAGTAGGCGAGATACTACCCGATTTCCCAGGCCGAAGTAGAGGGTTGTCTTAGGATACCCGACCCCGAGCCTTTTTATCAAGGATTTAACCTACAAGACAGCAGAGCTATATGAGGGTATCGCAACCCGTTGGGAGCCGGTGACCAAAAAAGTGGTTTATACGCCTTTAGGACCGCATAGGACCAGGGGCCAAACACACCCTTGAATTACAATGCCACTCAGAGAGAGGCAAGGGGCAGTGACTTTATTTAGTGGCGAGTCACATCCGCCACGTCACAGTGTTGTTAGACGGACAAATGTGGTTTTTTATAGGGAGAGCGCTTGCCAGGCGAAAACCACCACATCCTGGAACACTACCGCAGAACCATTTTCTGGAACGGGAAAATCCCGGACCACCCAGTTGGCACCACGAGTAGTTTATTCGGCAAGCCAAGCTATTGAAACAGTAATCACCGTAAACGCAAAAAAATGCCCGGAACTGCTCCCGCATGTCTGGGTGTAGGTTAATGTGAGATTGAGTGTCGCAATCCATTCACATAACGAGTGCTTCCTAATGAGCGACCCATCGATGCATCCATCAGTTCCACCAAGAGATACGTCGCGATAAGCCCTGTACACCTATTGCATTGCTGTTTTACGATAAGACATTTTCACACCCTAACGTCATCCACTTGATCTGCTGATTGATATGGACTACTTTTCAGTAAACATGGTATGATAATCACCATGCGGCTATGATGCGTTTGTGGTTGTCCTAAGCAGCAATAGTAATTTACTTATGGTTTGGTCGTTCTACATGCCTTATTGACGTTTACTATGACTTTCGGCTAGTTTATAAGGTCCATCATTCTTTTGTGGGCGACTTGACTTCTTTTGGGTTTAAACCATCAAGCTCCTTGTTTCTTCGAAATGTACTTCTCTACCGTTCTAAAATGGATATTTTCCCTAACAGCTTCACGTTTACTCTATCGGCGCCCACGTGGCAACCGTTTCTTGGAAGCCACCTGCGTTGGAGATGAGGAATGGCGAGATAATTTTGTACCGACTCAGCATCTCGTGCGATGACTGGTTGCAACCCAGGCAAATCGTCGTTCTGGACCAGCTTACTCAGCTCATCCAAGGTATGTTCATAAAAACTAACGGGATTGCTGCTTGCCCACATTCCGCTACATTTCGGACACAAGTTTCACTTTTCACGTTGTTCGAATATAAAATGATGATTTTTATTTTCTGGTCAGTGTGTACGGCGGACGGCTACTTACGCCTCCCACAATTCGTTTATTAACACCAATGGTGATACAGTAATGAACATCATCCGCAATCTTATTCGCCAAAGTAGCAAACTCCACGCCTATGCTTTAATTTATCTATTGATTATTCATGCTCCACTCTATCTGTTTGTGGACTTCCATTTAATCCATTTGAGCACACTGACGTTTTTTCACCTTGTGTTCGCAACAAATCATGACCTCTGCAGGCTTTACACCGTCCACCAGCTATCAGCTCACCGTCTCCGCCGCGACACGCGGAGGCAATGGCCCTGAATCCTCACCAGTGACGTTCAATACAACGGACATGGAGAATGACGCTGATGAAGAGGCTAAAAAGCATGGTGATCGAGCTTATCATCTCTCCGGAGTGAGTGGTCAAGGTTATTCAAATGTGGAACCGCCCATGTTCTGTGGACGGTCTTGGTGACTGCTTGCTGACCATCTATCAGAATATCAAACTCTACACTAGCCAAATTATACGTACTGTCACCTGCTGGAAATTGAAAACTGGTATTCACAAATTTGGCTGTTTCATGCCACGTACTGATGATGGCACCTCTAATGTAGACGAGCATTTAATCATCGAACTACTTAACTTGACGAGCCAGTCAACATTAAAAAGGTCAACGTGACCTTCCTTGTCAGTACATATCCATCGCTCCATCATCCAATTGGTCGGTATGGTTTTCATGAATTCATCTCAATCTAATTACGTTTTTGTTGATGTCCCTTTGTCGGGTCATGGACATTTGCATTGCTGCTTCACTCGCCACAGCACAACGTCGACACACGTTAAAGCAGGCAAATGGTACTCATTCGAAAAAGCGACGCGGCCATTGTTGCTGATTAAATTGCAACAGATGATTTACCGCAGTACCGGAGGGCTTATTACCAAACCCATTGTGTCTTTTTTCAACTACAAGCGCTTCAAAATGATGATCCCTCAATGACTGCATATATATATATACACATATATATATATATATATATATATATATATATATATATATATATATATATATATATATATATACTAGCTGTACCCGGCCCGCGTTGCTATGGCTCAGTGTGGGTACATGAAAATGAATGAAGAGCAAACTCTAACTTTTGTAACAGACGTAGTTTTGAAATGTTTGTTAATATGCAATTTTGTTAGCTGTACCGTCCTCTAGATGTATGAAAATGAAAGAAATACATTTCACCTTTGTAATGGATATAAGTTCACAACTCTTTCAGGTGTACATCGTCTTGTGTTGTAATGTTGTCGATGCACCTACAGAGATTGTCAGATTTGCCGAGTCTGGAGCACGCAACTTGAAATTGTCCATGTGAGCAGCAGTCGGTGCGTAGATGTAACCTGGACCCTTCAAAAGACTGGCACTTAGCTTTGTTGCTTCTGATTACAAGCGCCAAACAAGTAGGAAATTCCAATCTCTTAAATTAGTGCAGCTCGTCTTCAATTGAAGATGAATGAAAATCAAATACTTACCTTTGTGCATGTATGGGGATTGTCTGGTTGGCTGACTCTAGAACACGCAACATATAACGGTCCATGTGAGCAGCAGTCTGTGCGTAGATCGAACTCGCACACTTGGACAGACTTGTCATGAGCATCGTTGATTATGATTGCAAACGAGTCGCTGTGGCTCATTGTGGTTAAATCAAGATGAAAGAAAATATAACCCTCACCTTTGCAACAGAGGTAGTTTCACGAAACTTGTGGGTATGCAATGTTGTTTACTGTTCCATTGTCTGCTTAAATGAATATTTTAGATAAGCAAAATCTCACCTATGTAAGAAATAGATTTACTTTCCCAACACTTGTGGCCAGACCAGGCTTTCTCTTGTTACCTTGACTGTGCAGATATGGAGATTGACAGGTTTGCCGACACTAGAACACGCAACATATAATTGTCCATGTGAGAAGCGCTCGATGTGTAGATCTAACTCGTACAATTCAAAAGACTGCCCCTGAGCTTTGTTGATTTTGATTTCAAACGCCAAACGAATAGGGAATAACAGTCTGCTAAGTGGAAATGGCGTATCATTGGGAATCATCGGTATGCGAGGAATGTGGACATCTTCACCTTTGCAAACTCCGTTCAAGATTGTTGCCTGCACGACGTTTCTGAGTAATCCTTTTACTGCAAGTCTCGTACGGTTACAACCCTTTGGCTGCTTGATATTCTACGGCCTGATAATCGGTGTACCCATTTTCAATTCAATTACGTGCGGTGTCATCCCTGGCAGCTCGTGTGAATTCAAATATTCTATTGGTTAACCAATCGCTTCATTTGCTTCCAACACAGTGTCGACGGACTTATATGCGACTGCCTCACTTGGAGTTTGAATAAACATGTTCAGTGCATAAACGTCCTTGTTGTTTGCCGCAAGAATAGCTCGTTTGCTTAGCCAATCTCAATCCGGATAATTGGTTTAAATGTTGGGAAACACTTTTTTAACCAGTTCTCCTTTCGACGTCACGAAATTGCAAAAATTATGAGTTGGTGAAATTCTTCCCGAAGTCAAACAGACGGATGACTTTCCGTTCCCAGTCTCTAGTAATTGGAGGGAGAATACCTGAGCTGAGTGATCGTGTTGAAGCTGGCTACGTATATTTACAGTTAATTTTAGTGTCTTAACGTGACGCCACAAGGAACAGAATTTCAGGCAAGTATTTGGTTCATCCGCTGGTGTAGATCGAGGAATTACGGGCAACGTTTGCCTGAAGGATTTAGAAATGTTGCATGTGAAAGTTTCAATGAATTGCATATTCGACGGCAAGTTCAAAGCGGAATGAGCCGCTCTTCCACTGGATAGCAGTGTCGCAGCTATTCCAGAGGATTCGAGACCTAAGGCCATTTTGTTTTGCGATCTAAAGAGGATCTTTTTACCAGTTCGTGCAGGTGCATCAAAGAAAAAGATTGCACCTACCGCATCATTGACATTTTGCATCATTTGATGGTAAATGCCTTTTTGCTCAAGTGTTAACCGAGGAATGTTGGACTGCACATACGACGGAAGAACGCCCATGTTGTATTCTAGTTAACGACGCAATACAGCATCAAACGGAGCAGTAACAGATGGAATCGGTCATGGCATTCCCAATTGATTTAGAGCTTTGTTCACGATTTCTAAGCACAACTCTTCAAGCATTTTCAACATTTCATTGTATATTTCTGCTGGAAATTCTACTTTCCTACCGAACTTTTCGTTGCTTATTCGACGAGAAATATCTTTAGCCATGTGCGATTCATATTGTTTCCACAGCTCTATTAAAGAAGAAGGAGAGCAAGCGGTCAAATTGATTGCAAACAATGCGCGAATTTGATGCTGAGGTGATGTGTTGCACCCGTCCTTTACGCATAAATCGCATTGCTGGTCGTTTTGCAGTAAATTCAGAGCTTGACATGAGCTGCCGGTCGGTGGCATGTGTATCGCCAATTGGACAATATTCTCAATTGCTGGAAAGACATAGGACCATGCACACTGACCAACAACATACGAGGAAAAAAGCATTCAACTTGACTGGGATGCACGGTGATAGTTTCCTTAAAGATGCCAGGTTGTCCGTCGACCCGCACTCCCCCTTCGCGTCGTTCAACTGATCTCCTACTCACATTCCAAGTGTTATAGATGCACATCAGAATACAGCAGTTGTTTCACAAACACGTCATGCTAACATCATGTCAAGTAAGCGGTTAACTTTTTAGCCAGTGGATTCAGGGCCATTTGATGAACATTTGCAATTGTACAGTAAAGATGTTGTCCGTTCTCCAGATATACTACTAGATGAACGGCAGTTGGACTTCGTTCATTTATCGGAAGCGAAAGGATGCACCAAACAACTTCAAAGCTGCTTATGTATCTTCCAGCCTAATACTCGGTGACTTGTTCTATGTGTTTGGTTTCAGGCCAAACACTGCCACATCGCTGCCCTTGTTCAAGTACTTACCTATGTATTTGATGAATTTGACTGAGTTGCAGTATTCCACCTTCATGTGCACGTTGCACGTTTTTGAGAGGAAAGGCAAATAGGAACAACCCACCCGTTATCGAATTCGATATCACCGTTTCACATCTGTATAAGAACTACCTTACCGCCGTTTTCTGCTGATTGTCTTCTGGATAAGGGGTATTCGTCATTTTCTGGACCTCAATTGAATAACCATACTCAATGATATCGCTTTGAGAATTTTCGTCTATCGTACATAGTGAACATGGATTCAGTGGACCGCAGAATCCATGTATAACATTTTTCATTATAACTTCATGCAAGTCCTTATCGCTGTCAGCATCGGGTATTTTAGCGCATATTACATCGTCGATTTCGTTGGAAGTGATTTTATACATGCGTGTGGTTGTCCTCTCTTACCTTTCCACTGGGTACATCCAAAAACCCACCGACCATAAGGCCTCGCGTTTTACCATGTAGTCCACCAGCGATTTTACCTTCTGTCTGAAAGCACATGATGTGATGTCATGTCTATCCACCGGTGACTGTCCAGGGATTAAGAGCTGTTTTATATCATCCCAAGTTCGGTTGTATGTGAATGTAATGAACAAGTCAGGATGCCGGTACTGAAAGACATTCGCAATAGCATCTTCACCTTACGCGGACTGCCTGTATAAGAAGATAGCTAAATTGTGAGTCTCCCAACGTCAGCTGCATTGCCGTCATTCACAACTGCATTTCTCAAATGAACGTATTCTTCAGAGCGGAGCTTGTTCTGGTTCATGCGGATGCATTACAAACGTTCTGTTTCGATTTCTGTGTACATATCGAGGATGTATTGGTGAAACAAAGGACGTCATTTCAAAATGCGATTGTCTTCATTCTCCGGAATCATCTACCAGTATGGATAAAAGTTCAGTGCGATGTATTTCTTATGTGTATCCTCGCCGCTGACTTGATGTATCCTTTTGACGTTAAAGTGATATCCATCAGCCCCATCCCGAACAATGATAGGATATTGCAGAGCATCGTAGCATCTATGGGTTTCAACAAGTTTGATCAGCTGATCGTTTCTCAGATGAAGAATAATCTCTCTCGGTTGGACTTGATAGTCGACGATTACAACTTCGTCTATAGTTGGAGCATTGAATCTTCGCACATGTTCTCAAGTTGGCGTTTTGTCAGCATGAGTAGGGATCTTATGTGAGCCAGATGCCGCCATGTCAATAGCTGTTTTGGGCGAACGCACTAACATAGTTTTGGTGAATAAGCTCTTGCAATTTGAAAAGATGGACCTTTTATGCCGGTCGAAATTCCACAACGTGCTTTTAATTCATCACTGTCATCACGGATGAGGTACATTCGTAGGAATTTATGTTGATAATCTGGAAAAGGAGACACGGATAGGGCTT